TAGACAAAAATGTTTAAAGTGATTAAGAATCCTAGAACATAAGGAAACAGATTGATAAATTTGCTACATGAAATAAAAAAATCCAACTTTTGCATGGCAAAGAGCATACGCAAATGAAACGACAAAGTGTGAAAATCATTTGGGAATGATCTCACAGACAAATGGTTAATATTTCCAATATTAAAATGATTTTTCTAAGTTTATTTATTTTGAGAGAGAGGGGCAAAGAGAGAGGGAGAGAGAGGATCCCAAGCAGGCTCTGCACTGCCAGCACAGGGACTGATGTGGGGCTTGAATCCACAAACCGTGAGATCATGACCTGAGCTGAAATCAAGAGCTGGAGGCTTAACGGAATGAGCCACCCAGGAGCCCCTCCAATATTAGAACAAGTGCTTCTTAAAAATTCAGAAGAATAAATCAAAAATCTTGTGGAAAAATGGGTAAAATAAATGGACAGTACACAAAAAAATAAATATAAACGGCCCTTATACACATAAAATGGTGTTCGGTCTCACTTATAATAAGAGGAATTCAATTTAAAATTACACTGAGATACCATTTCTCATCCATTAGATTCACAAAAATTGATAACTCTGAGTACATATCCCGATGGCCAGGCTCTTGGGAACCATTGTTCTTATACACTGCTGACAGGAATGCAAAATATGTATCCCCTATAGAGGGGAATTTGGAAATAAAAAAAATAAAAAACACCCTACATATGCCTTTGTCTTTTGATTTGCTAATCTCACTCCTAGAAATCTTATTGGAGATATACCTCCACAAATACACAGAAAAATTCGATTCCTTATAAGACCAAAATGCCCACCAAAATGTGAGAATTATTGTGGTACATTCCCACACAGAAGACAATGCCATTGTAAACAGAGACGAGGAGGGTGTCTAGAATGAAGTGAAGTGATATCCTAGATAGGATTCTAAGAAAAACAACAACAACAACAACAAAACAAACAAAAACAAGTGTAAAGCAATGCATAGAGTATGCTGAATATATATATATATTTAAGAAAGAGTATACAAATGTGTACTAATTTATAATTTCTCAAAGAAACTTGGAAGCATAAATCAAGAACTTTAATGATTGTCAACGGGGAACGTAATCATAGATACAGAGAAAAAGCTAAATTTCTGTGTGCTCTTTTATTTTTTTTTTCTCTTTCCTTTTTGAAAACTGGTTTTACTTTGGAAGAATTGTGGAGGAAAAGAGACTTGAGAAGTGTTACCAGCCAAATGCAGCGAGGAGACCTCGATACAAGCACGACAGCTTGCAAAAAGGCATTTTTGACGCAGAGAAATTTGACTACAGAATAATTATTAGATTATATTAAGGAATTATTATGTTTTAGGTGTGATAATCATCATAATGCGGTTAGATTTTTAGACAGGCATTACTTCTGAGAGACATAAACTGAATAATTATGGATAAAATAATATTTTATCTTGGATTTTTTACAATGCAGTAGGGGGTAAAAAGTGAAAGGAAGGAACTGATATCTTAAAAGCCCTAAAACTGTACATACATTTTGACCAATCAGGTATAATTTCTGGAATTTATCATAAATGTATAGCTATGAATATACATAAAGATTTAATTAGAGAAACATTTATTCCAATAATTTTTTGGAGCGAAAAACTGGACATACCTTGTGCCTAAATCATTTACTTAAATAAATCAAATATGTATAAATGTTTTCAAAATAATTTGAATGGAAAAGTCATATTATTACTAATTGAAGAAAATAGTTCATAAAAACATAATATTTTGTTAACAAAAATTATTTAAGGAGAAATAGAAAATGTCTTATAAATGTTTATAGTATAATCATTGGGAGATTGGAATTCGGGCAACTTTTACTTAAAATCAACATTGGAGGCTTATATTTATCTTTTAAAGTACCTACAATAAACATGTATTTCCTTTGCAAAACAATAATTATTAAAGTAAAAGGTGACTTTGCATAAGGTAATCAATTTCAGCCAAATTACAGAAGATACATAGGAAAAAAGAATGGAAAGTTTCAGATATTTGTGAGAGGGAAAACATTTTAAAGACATGAATAACAACCACTGTCCCGTAAGTTGAAATAATTAAAAAAAATTTTAATGTTTATCTATTTTTGACAGAGAGAGAGAGAGAGAGAGAGAATGAGAGAATTAGCAGGGGAGGGGCAGAGAGAGAAGGAGACACAGAATCTGAAGCAAGCTCCAGGCTCTGAGCTGTCAGCACAGAGTCCGACATGGGGCCCGAACCCACAAACCATGAGATCATTACCTGAGCTGAAGTCAGATGCCTAACCGGCTGAGCCACCCAGGCACCCCAATAATGTTTTTAATATGAGTGATATAAGATTCTTTACTCTGCAAAAAATCGTTCCTCACCATGAGATTTCTCACACATTCATCTTAGACCCTTAGGA